AAGGCAACAGCAGGTTTATTGCATCTGTCAACGGCCCTGCATCCTCATAGATGGTTGTCTTCTCACTCTAACCTCACATGGTGGAAGGGGCAAGGGCTCTCTCTTAGGCCTGTTTCTTGTTTTTGTTTTTGTTTTTGTTTTGAGACGGAGTCTTGCTCTGTTGCCCAGACTGGAGTGCGGTGGCGCGATCTCGGCTCACTGCAAGCTCCGCCTCCCGGGTTCCTGCCATTCTCCTATCTCAGCCTCCTGAGTAGCTGGGACTACAGGCACCCGCCAAAACGCCCAGCTAATTTTTGTGTTTTTAGTAGAGATAGGGTTTCACCGTGTTAGCCAGGATGGTCTCGATCTCCTGACCTTGTGATCTGCCCACCTTGGCCTCCCAAAGTGCTGGGATTCCAGGTGTGAGCCACCGCACCGGGCCATAGGCCTATTTCATAAGGACACTGATTCCCATTCATGAGGGCTCCACTCTCATGACCTAATTGCCTCCCAAGGGCTCCACCCCCTAATACCATCACTTCACAGGTAAAGATTTTAACACATGAAGTTTGTGGGGACTTAAACATTCAGACCATAGCAACTTGTGGATTGCAAAACCAGGTCTTGAACAACTTGTAACTCTAAGGCTACTGGTTGTTTTAATGCCACAAACCGTGGGAAACAAATAAATTTAGTTTTTTGGGTTTTTTCTTTCTTTACATTTTTTTAAGAGACAAGGTCTTACTCTGGTTGCCCATGTCACAGTGCAGTGGTGAAACCATATCACACTGCAGCCTTAACCTCCTGGACTAAAGCAATCCTCCCACTTTGGCCTCCCACAGTGTAGGGACTACAGGTGCAAGGCACTGCGCCCAGCGTCTTTTTAAAAATTTTAAATGTATTTTTTAATTGACAAATAGAAGTTGTGCATATTTATCGTGTGTAACATATTGCTTTGAAATATGTATACATGTAGAATGGCTAAATCAAGCTGATTAACGTGCATTATCTCACATAGATATCATTTATTTTATGGTGAGAGCGCTTAACATCTATTTTTTGCAATTTTCAAGAATACAACATATTAACTATAGGGAGATATTGTTCAAAGGTTACAAAATTTCAGTTAGGAGGAGTAATTTTAAGAGTTCTATTGTACAATGTGATGACTAGGTAATAACTAGAGTTACCTATCATTCCTTATGGTACAGGAAGGATATATTATAGGAAAAATAAAAGAAATGTACCACTCCTTTAAGTACTGAGAATGAAGGAAGAATATAGGAGCATCAGAGAGATTAAGCCCAGGAGATGAATATATCCCCATCTACCCTTCTCCAGAAAGCAGGACAAAATCAGTAAGGCTCACACTCCAAGCACAAGGGTCTCTTGTCTTCACACCCTTCTTAAAAATCTGTCTTTGACAAAAAAGATAAACAACTCAATTTTAAAATGTGCAAAGGGCATAAATAGACATTTCTACTAAGATATACAAATGGACAATGACCACATGAATAGATTCTCAACATCACTAATCATTGTGGAAATGCATATCAATACTATAATGAGGTCAGGTGAGGAGGCGCACACCTCTAATCCCAGGACTTGGGGAGGCCGAAGTGGAAGGATTGCTGGAGCCCAGGAGGTTGAGGCTGCAGTGAACAGTATTTGTGCCACTGCACTCCAACCTGACAGAGTGAGACCCTGTATCAAAAAAAAAAAAAAAAAAAAAAAAAAAAAGCAGAAGAAGAAAAGAAAAAGAAAAACTTACAGTAAGATACCACTTCACACCTATTAGAATGGCTATAACCAAAATAACAGTATTGGTAAAAATGTGGAGAAATCAGAACCTCATACATTGCTGGTAGGAATATAAAATCGTTCAGATGCTGTGAAAAACAGTCTGGCAATTCCTCTGAGAACTAAACACAGAATTACCATCTGACCCAGCAGTTTCACTCCTAGGTCTATACCCAAAATAATTAGACACAGGGACTCAAACATTAAGGTTTACTGCGTCATTATTTACATTAGCCAAAAGATGGCAACAATCTTTGTGTCTATTCACAGGTGCATAGATAAATTAAATATGGTATATACATACAATGGAATATAATTCAAGCATATGTAAATGAAAAATAAAATCCTAAGCTCCCCAATCAACTGAACTGACCCCCTCTTGGCCAAAGGCACCCCAAAGAAACCTTAAAACCTGAGTTCCCTGCCATGAAGGGATGGGAGGTTGGCCATGCCTCGTTATACACCGCCTGCCTTGTGCAGTTTAAACACAACCGACCAGTATTTGTGTGAAAACAGAGCTCATAAGACTGACAGAATGGACTCTTTGTGGTATAAGAAACCAAATTATAAGTAGGATCTAAAGCCATGCCAGGCAAGGGTTAAATCACTCACCCCTACACTTAAAAAATAAACTATGTTCTAACTGCCACAAATTATTTTCTTTTTCTCTAGCAGTTAAACAAGCACTGGCTTTGAAATAAGCAATATTAAAACAATTTGCAGCTCATCCACAGCTGACAGCCAGGCAATGACCGCCAAAGTCCCCGTCCCACACCCACTCTCCCGTTCCACCAGCCAGAACCACAGCTGCGACTGGACAAGAGACCAATTTCAGTAACTTTCTCCTGATAAGAAGACCACCAGCCATGGCTTGGTTCCGGCCAGTTTACAGAGGCTGCACACATGAGTGCCATCCTGTCCCTGCTTCACTTTCTGATACATAGGGACTAATTGTAATGCACTTGAACATTAAGTCTCCACCCCAAAAGGAACACGGGTCGCATGTAGCACGCGTGTTTGCGTATCACATAGGTGTGCGACTCCTCTCATGAATATTCATAGCTCCTCCTGTGACCTGTTGAGTATGTGTGTTTAACCAACCAGTTCAGCATGATGCTCCTGCCCCAGCCCCTCCTTCTTCAAAGTGCCTGCTAACAGCTTCAGCCCAGAGGCCACCCTTCCCAGCCTGGCAGAGTGACCATTTTGCACGCTATAGCCTTTATAAGACCATTAAGCCTTTATAAGAAAGTCTCCTTCCCAAATTTTAGGATACATAATTTTAGGCCGGGTGCAGTGGCTCACGCTTGGAATCCCAGCACTTTGGGAGGCCGAGGTGGGAGGATCACTTGAGGTCAGGAGTTTGAGACCAGCCTGGCCAACATGGTGAAACCCTGTCTCTACTGAAAATATAAAAATTAGCCAGGCATGGTGGAGCATGCCTGTAATCCCAGCTACTTGGGAGGCTGAGGCAGAAGAAGGGCTTGAACCTGGGAAGTGGAGGTTACAGTGAGCCCAGATCACACCACTGCACTCTAGCCTGGGTGACAGAGTGAGACTCTGTCTCAAATAATTAACAATAATAATAATATGTCATTTTAAGTTGACATATCACGAAGAATGAAATTCTGATACGTGCTGCAACGTGGATGAATTGTGAAAACATTATAAGTGAAATGAGCCAGATACAAAAATTTTTGACTCGTTTTATATGAAACATCAAGAATAGGCAAGCTCATAGAGACAGAAAGTACATTAGCCGTGACCAGGGGCTGGGGGGAAGGAGGTAACGGGGGGAATTTCTCTTTGGGGAGTTGAAAATTTTTAGAAATAGGTAGTGGTGATGGTTGTATAACCCTGTGGATCTAAGAATGCTACCAAATTGCACACATAAAAATGGTTAAAATGGCTAATTTTATGTTACAGATATTTTGCTACAATCTGGGGTTCCCCACAGCAGACTGGTGAGCGGGAAGTTGATGGTCAGCGAGTGGACAGAAAATGGACCTGTAACTGCTGGAGGGAAGATGGAAGGGATGCATAGAACAGGCCCTGTGTCTATAGCCAGTGCAGGCCGACATGATGACAAGTCAGAGAGGGTGACCCCAGACTGGGACCAAACTGACAGACCGAGCACGGGTCGGGGACATCCAGGCAGCCTGCAAACAGGCAGGGCAGGGCCCCTCCCCAGAGGCCAAGGAGTGGAAGGTGCCTCTGCGGAGACCCAGCCCTTCTGCATCACCCCAGGACCTGTGTGAGCCACATTCTACTCCCCTTCTCTCAAGACACCGCCTCAGACAGAGAGCAAGGAGGATGAAGGATAACTGAGAAAGGGAATATTCGTACCTATGAGAAGACTGAGCAATAACTAAAGACACTGATGAGATTAAGGGAACATGCTACAACCTTTAAACCAGATAGAACTAATACTTAATTTTCTAACTCCCTTTCCACCCCTCTGCCATTGAACCGATGGGTGGAGGCTCATGATGAAGATCAGATGAAACTGAGTCAAAATAAAGAAAATGCATTAATTTTGTGGTGTGTCCCCACTCCTGTTAAACATTTTACACGAATCGTGTCAGATGCCCCCTCTTTTAGCTTCTGCGTGCTTTTGTTCTGAGGCTCAAGGCCCTGCTGTGACTTGCTTTGGAAAACTGGGTTCCTGGAGCCATCTCACCTGCAGGTTGCAGACTCTGAAATTGTACTGTTGCTTTGTTTCATCCCCTTCCTGTCCTTTCCCCTCTGTCTCCTGACTGGTTTCCTTAGGGAGTCCCTCCTCAATAAATCCCTTGCACACAAAAGCTCATCTCAAGGTCCACTTGTGCGTAACCCAGCTAAGACACCCATTTTCTCTGCATTCACAAGCTATACTATGACATAAACCTTTCAACCTTGCCGTATCTGCTATGTGGCTGCGCCCTGAAAGTTATCTGTGTGTGTGTGGCCCCTATTCTAGGCATTCTGCCCTGTTTGTGGGAAGCACAGAGCCAGCTCTGTGGTGGGAGCACCTTGGGGATGGACATTTTGAGCAAGGTCAGAAGGACCAGTCAATGGGCAGGATCACAGAGGCAGGTCCCTACTTCCTTCCTCCTCATTTCAGACTCCCCACCCCCAAACCCCAATCCCACTACCACATGTTGGACTTCAGTCTGGCCCAGGAGCTTAAAAACAAGGAAATCTCTGCAGATAATCCCTGTAGTTTAGAAATAACTCTCACATACGTCGTCTCACTTCACCTCATGTTGTAATCTCTGTGGCGAAGGCGACACTGATTCCCATTGACAGACGATGAAACAGATGCTTACAGAGTAGAAATTATTTGCTCAGTGCTGCACGGTTCAAAAGTAGGAGTCTCTGTTAATTCCAAATAAAACAAAACCAAAAAGCCCGCAAACGGTGTTTCCCCTGCTCTCCTATGACAGCAATCAACATAGGATACTTCCGTGATCAGTCGTGTGGGGTCGCCCCTCCACATCAAGCTAGTCATCAGTTCTGCAGAAGACACCAGCCGGGCATCCTCTACCTCAATTCTGACATTATCTTCCTGGAGACAGAGAGCGTCGGATTCCACAGGTTGAGAACTCCGTCCCGTTAAGCCCCGGCTTCTACTCCGGAACTTCTGATCAGTTCCAAACTGGGGTTCCCATGGCTCCCTTTCTGGGCTCGATTAGTTTCGAGAGCAGCTCACAAAACTCAAAGAACATGTTCCCAGTTTTCTATTTGTTTGTTTTTGAGATGCGGTCTCACTCTGTCGCCCAGCCTGGAGGGCAGTGGCATGATCTGTGCTCACTGAGCCTCCGTCTCCCAGGTTCAAACAATCCTCCCACCTCAGCCTCCTGAGTAGCTGGGATTACAGGCAGGTAGCACCACATCCAGCCATTATTATTATTATTTTTTTATTTTTAGTATAGGCGGGGTTTCACCATTTTGGCCATGCTGGTCTCGAACTCCTGACCTCAAGTGATCTGCCTGCTTTGGCCTCCCAAAGTGCTGGGATTACAGGTGTGAGCCACCACGACTGGCCATCACCAGTTTTTTTTTTTTTTTTTAAATAAAGAATATTACAAAAGATGCAGATGAAGGATGCCTAGGGCAAGGCATGTGGAAAGAGACAAAGAACTTCCACGCCCTCCCCAAGTGCACCACCCTCCAAGAACCTCCATGTGTTCAGCCATCAGGAGGCTCTCCACACCCTGTCACATTGGGTTTTTATGGAAGCTTCGTTATGTGACCATGATTGACTACATCATTGGCCACTGGTGATTGACTCCACCTTGGGGGAGGTGTCCCTCTCCCCTCCCCAGAAGTCAGGGGGTGGAGCTGAAAGTCCCAATCCTACCCCTGCCTGGGTCTTTCTGGTGACCAGACCCATCCTGTAGCTATCCAGGGGCTGCCAGTCTCCAGTCAATCATTAGCATACAAAAAGGCAACACTTGGGAGAGTCTAAGAATTTTAGGAGCTATGTGCCAGGAAATAGGGTTGAAGACCAAATACGTATTTCACAATATCACAGTTTCTCAGTCCAGTATTTCCTCATCTTAAACTGATGAGTGATAAGGATGAGCTGATGATAACTAAGGCTGGGCCTCGGGTCCAGAAGGTTCCGTTCTGTGCTCCTAGTGCAGGGCATCGTTGGTCCTTTCAGGCTCCACCTTGTTTTTATTTATTCATCAATTCCCTTTTCTCCTCTATTCTCCTCTTCCATTCCCCTGATCTCTCATAAGAAGCTATGCTATTCTAATATATTTAGTATGCATCTTTTTTTTTTTTGACGGAGCCTTGCTCTGTCACCCAGGCTGGAGTGCAGTGGCGCAGTCTCAGCTCACTAAAACCTCCGCCTCTTGGGTTCAAGCAATTCTCCTGCCTCAGCCTCCTGAGTAGCTGGGATTACAGGCTCATGCCACCACGCCCGGCTAATTTTTGTATTTTTAGTAGAGATGGGGTTTCACCATGTTGGTTAGGCTGGTCTTGAACTCCTAACCTTGTGATCCACCCACCTTGGCCTCCCAAAGTGCTGGGATTACAGGCACGAGGCACCACATCTGGCTGCATCCTTTCTTTGTATGTGTTCTTGTAAAATGCACATTGTTGTTGTGTGTGTTTTTTATTAACACAAATGATGTCAGTCAAAGAAATCATCTGATTAATTCCTCTTCTCCTTCTTCTTCTTCTTCTTCTTCTCCTCCTCCTCCTCCTTCTCCTCCTCCTCCTTCCTCTTCCTCTCCTTTTCCTTCTCCTTCCTCTTCCTCTTCTTCCTCTTTTGACAAGGCCTTGCTCTGTCACTAGGGCTGAAGTGCAGTGGCACCATCCCAGCTCACTGAAGCAGGGCTCAAGTGATTCTCCCACCTCAGCCTCCAGAGTAGGTGGGACTACGGGCACGTGCCAACATGCCTGGATAATTTTTTTATTTTTAGTAGAGATGAGGCTTCACTATGTTGCCCAGGCTGCTCAATTTTCATTTGGCATCATGCCTTTAAAATATATCCGCGTTTCTAACCTACATGCTACACAGTACTCCAGGGAGTGTATATTCACCGTATTTTTTCTATCCTCTCTGCCACTGATGGACACTGAGATGGCTTCTAACTTCCTCCCATCACAAACAGTGTTGTAAGAAACATCACAGGATCTTTGACCTTTCTCCAATACACACTGTCAGACAAGGTAGATGATTCCCTTGGGGAAAATGAAGGTACAGGCCAAAGTGACTGGACAGGGAGGCACAACCACACTATGAAACAGGGGCAAGGCAATGCATTAGTTTCCTGTGGCTGCTTAATAAATTACCACAAATTTGGTGGCCTAAAACAGTATAAGTTTATTCTTGCATAGTTCTGGAGATCAGAAATTCAAATTCAGTCTCACTAGGCTGAAATCAAAGCATTGACAGGCCCACACTCCCTCTGGAGACTCTAGGAGAGAGCCTGTTCCTTGTCTCTTTCAGGCTGCTGACATTCCTTCGCTTGTGGCCACATCACTCCAATCTGCAGGGCCAGCTTCTTCAAATCTCTTTCTGTTTCATCTTCCTGTCACCTTCTAAAGTGTGTGCATGTGCATGTAAAATATCACTCTGCCTCTCTCAAATCAGGACACTGTGATGCCATTTAGGGCCTTCCTGAATAATCCAGGACAATCTCCTAATTTCAAGATCATCCACTTAATCATATCGGCAAAGACTATATTTCCAACTAAGGTAATATTCACAGATACTAGGAATTAGGACCTGATATTTTTGGAGACCATTTTTCAGTCTAATACAAGCAACGATCTAAAAACTTTTTCTGAAACTGAATTATTGGAACATAGGGACCAAGAGTTTAAAATAAGCATGATAAATGTATTTAATAGATCCTAGAATTTCTTAAAAATGTGAAGCAAGATCAAGAAAGCATAAAAAACAACCAAGGAGAAATATTGGATAGCAAATACAACAGTTGGAAAAAGAATACAAAATAGGGAATAAATTACAGAATGGATGCAGCTGAAGAAAGACTGAGGAATTGTTTTAGAAGACAGCACTAAAGACAAACATTAGCCCCAGTGAGGTGGCGCAAGCCTGTAGTCCCAGCTATTTGGGAGGCTGAGGTGGGAGGATCGCTTGAGCCTGGGAGGTGGATGTTGCAGTGAGCCCTGACTGCACCACCACACTCTAGCCTAGGTGACCGTGAGATCCTGTCTCAAAAACAAAAACAAAAACAAAAAAATGAGAAAAGAAAAGAAAACAAGAAAGACAAAGGGAAAATATAACAGAAAAAAGGCTCATGGATATGGAAGATAAAATGTAAGTGCCAGCATTGAGTGAAATAAGAGAGAAATTATTGAAAGAAATAGTGAAGATAAATTTCCCAGATTCAAAGGCTCTTTTGATTTGATGCTGAGGAGGAAAGAGAAAGAACGAATATTACAATAGGGTTTCAAAACATTAAAAAAAAAAACAAAAAAAACAACACCTAGGCTCATGTCTGTAATCCCAGCACTTTTAGAGGCAGAGGCAGGCAGATCACTTGAGCCTAGGAGTTCTAGACCAGCCTGGGCAACATGGAGATACCCCGTCTCTAATAAAAATACAAACAAAAATTAGCCGGGCATCGTGGGTGCTAGCCTGTAGTCCCAGCTACTCCGGAGGGCTGCTTGAGCCCAGGAGGCAGAGGTCGCAGTGAGCTGAGACCGTTGAGATTGTGTCACTGCACTGCAGCCTGGGTAATGGAACAAGACCCTGTCTTAAGGGAAAAAACCAAAACAACAATAAAAGAAACAAATTAAGAAACAAAAAGAAAACTCTAAAATTATCTGGGGATATTATCTTTTAAAGATAACCTTCAAAAATCAAAAAAGCAGCACTTTGGGAGGCCGAGACGGGCGGATCATGAGGTCAGGAGATCCAGACCATCCTGGCTAACACAGTGAAACCCCGTCTCTACTAAAAAATACAAAAAATTACCCGGGCGAGGTGGCGGCGCCTGTGGTCCCAGCTACTCTGGAGGCTGAGGCAGGAGAATGGCGTGAACCCGGGAGGCGGAGCTTACGGTGAGCTGAGATCCGGCCACTGCACTCCAGCCTGGGCGACAGAGCGAGACTCCGTCTCAAAAAAAAAAAAAAATCAAAAAAGCAGGCCAAGCACGGTGGCTCACGCCTGTTATCCCAGCACTTTGGGAGGCCGAGGCGGGTGGATCACCGGAGGTCAGGAGTTCAAGACCAGCCTGGCCAACATGGTGAAACCCCATCTCTACTGAAAATACAAAAAATTAGCCTGGCGTGGTAGCGGACGCCTGTAATCCCAGCTACTCGGGAGACTAAGGCAGGAGAATCGCTTGAACCCGGGAGAAGGAGGTTGCAGTGAGCTGGGATCGTGCCATTGCACTCCAGCCTGGGCGACAAGAGTGAAACTCCGTTTCCAAAAAAAAAAAAAAAAAAAATACAGGATGCAAGAAATTAACATTATAAAGTATGAAAGGAAAACGAGCTTTGAACCTAGCATTTTATACCAGCCAAACTCTCAAAACTCGAGGGTGTGAAAAAATATCCCCAGGCTGACACAGCCACAGCAGGCTTTTCACACAAAGGCTAACACCGAAAGCTCTCTTTAAAAATTACTTAATTTTCCAAAAAATATTTTTACATCATTTTAGGTAATTTACAAAAAGCTGTAAAAATCCTATTTACCCGGACACATGCACAAGCGCCTGTTTGCTCTCCCTGCGATCACAGCCGACACGCGCGCGCGGACGCAGGCACAGACACGCCGCTTTCCACGGACGCGCGCTCACAGCGCCAGGGCTCGGCCCCGCACCACGAGCTAACGCGCGGTCCCCAGGGAGGTGGCGCCGAAGGCACAGCGGCTCTGCCCGCGGCGTCCGGTCCTGGTCGTCCCTATGGAGACCCTTCCCCGATGGCCCCGGTCTCAAAGGCTTTTTCCTCCGAGCCTGAGGTCCTCCAGACCTCCCGCTGGGCCGGGGCCCGCCGTCCTTCCTCGCCGGCGAGCGTGGGCCTCCCCGGGGGCGGAGGGTGGCCGGGCAGAGGCAGCCCAGGTGCGCGCTGGAGAGGCCGGCCCGCCGCGCCGGACACTCTGTCCAAAGAGGAAGCGCTGCGTGGGCAGCGGCGCGGCCCGGGCCCTCGGATCCCCGCCTCGGTTGCTCCCGAGACGCCCACCCCGCGCCGCGTCCTCCGAGCTCCGCGCCCTCGGGCTGCGCTGGGCGCAGTGGCTCCCGGGCAGGGCCTGGGCGCGAGAGCCGCTCTCAGCTGCCGGGCTGGGGCGG